CCGATTCCGATGCCCGTCTCGCACGCCCAGCCCAAGCCGAGCTTGCGGCCTACCCCGGACCCAGGGTGCTCGGGACTAGACGCAGAAGCCGGTTGCGAGGCCCTGGGGAAAACGTTTGGAGCAATGGGAAGGCGGATCACATTTTCGTGTTTACTCTAGTTCACATGGGAAAGGGATGCCTTGTTTTAATAGTATTTGGTGTGGTTTTTTTTTTTTTGGTTTTGTTTTGTTTTGTTTGCTGTCTCTACATGAGCTGAGTCGGTAATAAACCGGCCATCCTGCTAGCCTGATTTTTTTTTTTTCCTTCTTAAAAACCAGGCGTGGTGGCACATTCCTGTCTGTAATTTCAGCACTTGGAAAGCTGAGGGAGGAGGACATCAGGATTTCGATGCCAGCCTGAGCCACATAGTAAATTCAAAAGCCAGTCTAAACTACATCGCCAGACCTTGTCTCAAAAAACAGGCAAAAAAACAAAAGTAAATGAACAACATTGCCATTGATACAATCAAAATATACTGATTGTTTTTGCCTTTTGACAAAGGGGCTCATTCTCTCCCAAGGTCACAGACCTTGATGGCCAGAACCACCCCAAGCACTCAGTACAGCCCAGCTATACCACAGATTCGTACATCAAAGGCACGGGGCATTGGGATCCCCGATACACAGACCCCGAGGCTGAGTGGCCGAGGCTACCCAGTTATTTAGTGGCAGATTCAACACTAAAGTGCATCTGGCTGAATCCGTGGCTGGTTGTTAAGTCATCGTGGTGCTGTTCCCCCACAGATGACACGGGCAGGTGCTGTATCTGAGCCGTTGACAGAGTGCTTGGCCAGCTCTATTAATTAAAGGAGCGCAAGCACCTGGCTGGAAGCCACTGAGCCTTGTGTAGGGCTGAAGAGTGGACTCGGGCTTCTGAGTTTTTCTGGAGTATATGCTGGGAACGCCTTCAGGAGGCCGGTCCCTCACTCGGCTTACCTCTGTCAAGTGGCCCTGCATTGGACAGTAAAGATGGAGCCGCAAAAGTAAAAAAAGTGCACAGAGCTGGACCGCGTACAGGCCAGAGGGTAAGGAGGACACACAAAGGATCCTTAGCTCTAGTCCTGGAAGTCCGTTTCCGAGAGCCCAGGGAACAACTAGGAACCAAATTTACACAAAAGCTTCACGTAGCTGCCCACGATACCCTCCAAAGTGACCGTTTCCATCTTTCTTTCACATCTGATTATATGGGGGCCGGCTTTAATTTGCTCTTAATATCTCTCTTTAGCACTTTAGCTTCCAAACTTTCCCCAGATTGGGACAAATAATTTTTTTTTTTTTCCTGGTACCGGGGATCGAACGCAGGACCTTGAGCTTGTGAGGCAGGTGCGCCGCCACTGAGCTAAATTCCCCAGCTCAGAAACATACAATTCATTATTTTTTGTCGGGGGGTACCGTGGATGGAACTCGGGACCTTGTGTGTGCGAGGCAGGCGGTGGAACCACAGAGCTAAATCCCCGGCCTTAGTAACATACAATTTAAAAACTCTCAGTGTTTAAGACAAGAAGTTGTCTGGGTGCCAAGAGGCTGTGCTCTGCCTTTTCCCCGGACCCCAGCTGATAAAGGAGGCTGTCTGGAACAGTGTCGGCCGTCGGCAAAGGAGAGAAACCTTTCTAGAGAGCCCTACACCAGCAATTAGAAGTTCATTCCGGAAGTAGCAATTAGAAGTTCATTCCGGAAGTAATGTGTGTCACTTCCCGCCCTGGCCAGAATGAGTCACGTGACCGCAGGCCAAGCTGCAGGGTGGGGCGGAACAGGAAGTCCGTTTGCACCTCAGTTCCTGAAGGCAGGTTGCTGAGGCCAGAACGGGACTGGTGAGGATGGCAAATGTCGGAGTAGAGACCAATGCGTAATATAGCTTCTCCGAGGCACTTAGAAAGCAACTTAGCAAAGAAAAATAAGTAGCGGTCCAGGAATAAAGCAAGAGCCCACAGGAAAGACTAGATCTACATAGTGAGACCCTGTCTCAAAAAAAGTAAAGAAAAAAAAAAAGAAACAGCTTGGAACACTAACTCTGCTTTCAGGGAAGGGAACCTATGTCGAGTGATACAAGGTAAGCCCAAGGCAAGCTCAGCTCATTCCCATTACCTGTGGTGAAAAGCCAGGCTAGTCCTGTGGTTTTCTGAGGAGATGGCCTGAAAGTGTTACCTGGTTTGGGGGTGCTGGAATCTCCTTCTAGAGGTGGTTTTTAGGCTCTTTTTTATCCTGAACAAAGAATTGGTCAAAACAAGCACAAAATGAATCCAAGTTTTACTTTTATTTAAGATAGGAAAAAAAAAGGGACATGCTTTGCCAAGTGAGGGTGGGCCAAAAAGTAGAAAAAGAAGTATAGGGCCGGGAATTTAGCTCAGTGGTTCCTCTGCCTGCCTCACAATAACAAGGTCCCAAGTTCAGTCCTGGTTAAAAAAAAAAAAAGTACAGTAAGTTCCCAATTTACACAGATGTGAACAGATCTCACATTAGGTACATTCATAATAAGTAGCTCACCATGCATAGTGTACAGTAGTACAGTACTTTCGGGGATTTCCTGTATTTTTATGTGGGTGGCTTTTTAGTTTTGGTGTTTTGGTTTGTTTGTTGTTGTTTTTTTGGTGACAGGGTCTCTGTGTATTCAGGCTGGCCTTGAACTCACTATGTAGCCCAGTCTGGCCTTGAATTCACCTCAGTTCTGCCTCAGCCTTCTTGAGTACTGTTTGTTTGGTGTTTTTATGTTGTACGTTTGTGTCCAAATTGTATGACTCACTTTGCCAGACTTATGAATGAATGTGCCTTTTGAATGTTTGTGCCTTATGAATGTTCTTCCGGAATGGAACTTTTTCATAAATGGGGGTCTAAAGAGTGAAGGGGAGCCGGGCGTGGTGGCACACACCTGTAATCCCAGCATTCGGGAGGCTGAGGCAGAAGGATCACTGTGAGTTCGATACCAGCCTGGGCTACATAGCGAGTTCCAGGTCATTCTTGGCTTCATAGTGAAACCCTGACTCAAAAAACAAACAAACAAACAAGAGTGAAGGGGAGAGCACAGTGGCCAAGAGCTCAATGGTGGCTGTCTTCTATATCTCCCACTCACTCCTCAGGCTGACAAAAGGTCTGGGATGTTCTGTCAGAAACCTCAGAAGAACTGGAGGTAGCACTTTCTGATTGGTTCCAGTTGCAGGGCTTGGGCACCTGTCTCTTGGACCTCCATGATTGACAGTTTACATGCTTTTGCTCAGATGTTTTCCACATCCTAATCTGCCTCAAAAGTACAGATACACTGTCCAGCAGACTTGCGGCCTCCCTTGTGGCCTATTTCCAGCAGAGAACTCAGTGGTGCATTTGCTTTTCTCACCTGGCAACATCAAGGGAATGACTGAGGTTACACAGTGGTACATCCTGGGGTGCACGGACACAGGGGCCTCTGGAGAAAAGGAGGCATAAAGCTATTCAGAGATTGCAGTGACTTGGGCACATAGCAGTGCGGGAACACTAACTGCTGGAGTAAATATACCCTAAGGCAGACACCCACCATTGACTGACCACATCCATTGAGAAAAGTCCAGCAGGACCCAGCATTAACACAGCAAAAACTGGATGTGGAAACAGATTAGGCCCTACTTGGGATTCATTGTCTCCTCACCATAGCTGGTGGATTCCAATCCCACAGGCTCTGTAAAGAAAGCAGTCACTCAACACATGGAGGGTCCTTTTTTTGTTTGTTTGTTTGTTTTTTTTTTTTTTTTTTGCTTTTGCTTTTTTTGGTCTTTATTTTTTTTCTTATCTTTTGCTCTGTTTTTTTTTTTTTCTTTCTCTGTTTTTTTGTTTTTTGTTTTTTGGTTTTTTTTTGGTACTGGGGATCGAATTCGGATCCTTGCACTTGCGAGGCAGGCGGTAGAACCACTGAGTTAAATCCCCTGCCCTTTCTCTGTTATTTTTACCTAATTCGGTGGACTTTTATTTATTCATTTATTTATTAAATTTTTTTTTTGGATACTGGAGATCAAACTCACGACCTTGTGCTTGTAAGGCAGTTGAGTTGCCACTGAGCAAAATCCCTGGCCCTGCTTTCATTTTTTAATTGGATTTTAAATCTCATTTTTCTCTTCTCTTTCTTTACAAATTTTACTTCTTTCATTTTCCCCCTTCACCTTCATTTTAATCATTATTAAGTTTTATTAATCTTTAGCTGTTTAGGTGACTCAGTGCTGCTATTGCTAGATTCTATTGTTAATGATGATATAGTTGTTACTTCCAGTAGATATTCACTGTATGTGAATCTTTGGTTTTATTTGCACCTATATTATTGCAGATCTTTTTATTGTTAAGGATGGGGTGGTTGTAGTTATTGTTTCTTATGGTATGTCAGTAATCAGTCAGTCCTTGGTTCTATTATTGCTGATTTCTTTTCTATATTCAGTGGTAGCATAGTTGTTTCTTTTAATTACTTTTCACTATGTGCCAGTATCTAGTCTTTGTATCATCAACAGTGATTTGTTTTCTCCTCTCTGTGTGGTGCTGAAATCAAGTCCCTAGAATGTTGGACACTAAGACCTCCAAATATTATTCTAAGAAGACTTCCAGGTATTTGGGGTACAAACACCAAATGTCAGTACACATCATAGGAGACCAAACCTAACTAATGGGATATCCACAGTAGGGCCAGAGTTTCTCTACTCCAGTTGAGGCACAGCACAAACACAATAGAGACAACTCACAGAGCAAAAACAATAGAAACATGAGAAAGCAAGGCAGAAGATGTCCCCAAATCCCTTACTCCCCAAAAGCTGATCTTACAGACCCTGAAGTGTAGGAGAAGTCAGCAAAGAACTAAATACCAAATGGTTAAAACGTTCGAAGAGATAAAAGAAGCCTATAAGTAAATGCATAAGATGTTCAGTAAGTTCAGAGAAGATTTAAACAGGTAGAGGATTTTACCAATAAAGTGTTAGGTGAGCTTAAAGAAGAGTCAAACAATAAACCAACTGAATTAAGCAAGACAATGCCAAATTTGAATGGCTACTTGGGAAAAGAGAAAATATGTAAAGAAAGCAAGCAGAGATCGTTGATATGAAAAATTCAGTGGAAAGTGTGAGCAGCAGACTTGTCCAATGTGAGGACAGTGTCAGAAGCAGGAGACAAAATGGATGCAGTAGACCATAAACCCAGTGATGCTCTAAAATTGGCAAGACACCAGGCAAGCTGGATCCCAAGGGAAAAAAACCAACCTCAGAATTGTAGAAATAAAGGAAAAATTAGAAGATGAATCAATTAAATGAATTCATTAAAATCATAGCTGAAAAATTTCCAAATGTGGGGAAATAATTCATTAAGTAGAAGAGGCATATAAAACCCCAAATAGACACAACCAGAAAACAACCTCTGTACAACACATAATCAAAATTCCAGAAATTCAACAAAAGGAGTGAATGTAAAAGCTGTTAGAGAAAAACAGTAAGTATGCTATAAAGGCAAACCCATCAGAGTAACTGGATTTCTCAGCCCAGACCTTAAAGGCCAGAAAAGCCTGGAGCAAAGTTTTTCAAGCCCTAAAAGAAAACAGTTGTGCTGGGTATAGTGGTGCACATCTGTAATTCTAGGGCTTAGTAGGCTGAGGCAGGAGGATCTCAGTGAGTGTGAGCCCAGCCTGGGCTACACAGTGAGTTGAAGGCCAGCCTGGACTACATAGTAAAACCCTGTCCCAAAAAAGAATGAAGATGTGATGTGTATGTGTGTGTGTGTGTTTGTGTGTGTGTGTGTATTCCACACAAAATATTATGTACTGCAAATGTGTACTAATAAAAAAAAATGATAGAGAACTAAAGATTTTCCATGATTTCCCTAAATAATTACATGACCACTAAACCAACATTGCAGAAAATACTTAATGGGATCCTAGACAGAGACAGGGAGGCCACCAGCTCCACAGTACCCAAAGGAAAGTACACATTTGATGGGGAGAGGAATTAGACAAAAATTAAAAATAAAGATAATGCCATAGTAGTATTCAATAACCACCGTACAATAACATTACAATAATACTGCTCCATGTCAATGGCCTCAACTTCTCAATAAAAAGACAGTCTAGCAGATTGGCTAAAAATGAAATAAAAAATTGCCTATAGAAGACCATCCAAAAGGAAAGGCATACGCTGAAATTGAAAGATGATCCAAGGAGACAAAGATGGCTATTACATACTGGTAAAAGGAACAATTCAACAGGAACTGTAAATATCTATGGACCAAATGTCAGTGGACTCAGTTTCTTTCTTTTAGTCTTTGAGACAAGATGTTGCTTTGTAATTCAGGCTGGCCTTGAATTCACTATGGAGCCCAGGCTGTCCTCAAATTTCCATGCAATCCTCTTGCCTCAGCCTCCTGAATATATGGGCCACCATGCCCAGCCCAGCCACTATATCGAGCCCAGGGTACCCAATTTCTTAAAACAAAAATTACTGGATTTAGAAGGACAGATAGGACTTAAAACAAAAATTATAGGACTTGACACCAAAGCAATCATGGGGGGACTTCAATACCCCACTCTCAAAATTAGGTTACCCAGACAAAAAAATAAACAAAGAGACATCAGTTAGACCACACTGTTGAACAGATGGACTTAACAAATTCCTGTAGAGGGTTTCATCTAACAACAGCAGAATACACATTTTTCTCAATAACACATGGAACTTTTTGAAACTAGACCATATCTTAGGGCATAAAGCATGCTTAAGAAAGTACTAAAGAATTGAAATAATCCACTGCATACTATTGGATGATAGTGGAATGAAGATGGAAATCCACAGTAAAAGAATCCACAGAAATTATAGAAATGGTTTTTAGGTAATGCGTTATCAAATAATCAATGGATCACAGAAGAAATCAGGGAGAAGTAAAACAGTTCCCAGAATCAAATGACAGTGGAAGCATAACATACTGAAACCTGTGGGACACAGAGCATCCCGAGAGCGAAGATTAGAGCCATAAATGCACCCATAAAAGGAATGCAGTGATCCCAAATAAATAACCTAATGGTGCATCTCAAGGACGTAGAAAGATAAGAACAGTCCAAATCTGAAACTAATAGGAGGAAAGAAACTACAAGATCAGAGCAAAATTAATGAAATTGAAGTTAAAAAAAAAAAAACCAATACAAAGGATCAGTGAACCAGAGGGCGGGTTCTTTGAAAGGACGGGAAAGGGGACTTGGGGAGAAGGGAGGTTGGAGGGAGCGGCAGGGGAAGTAAAAGGATCAAGATGCGATATGTATGTACCACTGCCCCCACCATGAATGTGTTTACTATTTTCACAGCAATATACCAAGAAAAAGTTGGAAAGAGGGTCCATACGGAAGGCTACCAGGTAGAGTGCCTCTGCCCAACCCTGTGGCCCCAAATCAGTCTGTTCCGCCACCACCCTAACCCTTGCGCTTGGGACTGTCCCAGCTCAGTCCGCAGTGTGGTCTCTCCACGTCCCGCATGCCGATGAACCACCAGGCCAGGGTCCATTGTTCCTTCATCCCTAACCCTCACCACAGTACTTCAATATGTGACTTCTTGCGGTGGAGACTGGCTCTCGTCACCAGTCCACATCCTCTTTCTCTTTGGGCGTGCAGATGACACACATGTCCCAGTGTCCCTTGTGCCCGTGACAAGTTGTAGCTGAGTTGTGATGGCACCATTTCCGGCCTGGCCAATGAACCCCCATATATGCTCCCCTCTCCTGTTCCCCAGACCGGGTGCCAGTGACCAAGGGAGCTTGGAAGCCAGCACTGAAGGTGGCAGGACCCTTGCCACCGCCACCAACGTGGGTCCCTGATGGACCTCACTCAGGAGCATCCGCAGCAGACTCCTGTAAGGAAGAAATAAACTTTTGTTACAGCAGCTACTGCCACTCTGATCCATCCTAACTTTGTGAAGGGGTTAAGGATGTTGTTCAAGAGTTGCAAGAGTTTGTTCAACCCCCACCCCAGTAGATATTAAACCTCCTTAGAAAGCTGCTCAGTGAGTGCACATGGGCAGTCCGACACCCAGAGGACAGAGTGTGGTGACTTTTTGGCATGCTGTTGCTGATGACAATCTGACCGTGGCTTGGTTTCCACGCCTGTGGCTCCAGGATTTCCAGGCTGAGCAACGGTGTCCTTATGGGGTAGGGGGTGGGGCACACTTGGAGCATTGATGCGCCCCCTGTGGATGCGCCTTGGGGTGCAGGCATCAGCATCTGCTGGATCACAATCGGAAGTTCTCATCTAAAAATCAGCCCAGGGAGGTGGGGCATCTTTTAAAAAGGGCTGAGTGGGCAGGAGGTTAAATGTGTAAAAGCAGTTCCAGCCAGGTGTGGTGGTGCATGTCTATAATCCCAGCAGTTGGGAGTCTGAGGCAGGAGGATTGCCATGAGTTCAAGGCCAGCCTGGAGTACATAGTAAGTTCAAGGTTACTCTGAACTACATAGCTGTCTCAAAAAAGAAAAAAATTCCAGAAAATGAGCTCTTAAGCACTATAGTGGGTTATAGAAGCAAGCTTGGAAATATTCTGTATTTTTTTTTTTTGTAGCAGCGATCGAACTCGGGTCCCTGCACTTGCAAGGCAGGCTGCGGCACCACTGAGCTAAATCCCCAGCAATATTCTGTATTTTAATATTAAATAAAAACATAAAAGCACAATGTGTTTGTTGCAATGCATGCAAACAATTTAGAGGGGTGCTAAGGAAGAACACTGAAGTTCTGTCTTGATCCAAGGTCTGCGCTCAGATTTACTGTGGTCGATGTGCACCCTAAGCCACTAAGAATAACCCGAGGTCTGCAGTTCCACGCAGAGCCCATCAATGGATGCGGCACCAGCTAATTATAACCAGTGTTACTCAGGCCTTCCTGGGGGCCAGGCACTGACCTCAGCACTTTCTGCATTTTCTCCCTGAGTCCTCTCACAGTGCCTTGGCTCAGTAGCAAGGACACTTCCCTGGAAAGGGGTATGAAGGGAGAAGGCTTGAAGTGAGTGTCCCAGCCCACATACACAGCGCATGGCCAAGCCAGACTGGGACCCCAGGACTTTGGCTGCAGGGTCCGCACAGCGATGACTCAGCAGTGCCACCTTTTAACCAGCGAGTGAGGAGGGTTGGACAATGGGGAAATGGAAATAGTGGCACCCAGGTATTGACCCTGGCCACTTTCCTACCTTCTCCAAGCCTTCGTGATTTCACCTGTGAAATATGGCCAGTGGGACAGGTGTTGCTGGGGCTTGGTATTAATGAATTGATGATTCTAAAGGGCTGTGTAAATAACCCCATTTATCTAAAGAATCAGCTTGCTTTCATTTGTGCTCCATGCTGGTGGAGAATAAATTGTTCCTGAGATTACTTTCCTACTTATTTTGGGGATAATTTAATTTCCTGTATGTTAAAGGCTGTTAATCTTTGATTTTCACTTTTCACAGCAGATAAGATGGCTCTCTGGTGCCATTCTAAATGCCCTGGGAATTTCTATAACCCGCTTTGCAATGATTACTCTAAAATTTTCTGCTTAACTCTTTTTTTTTTAAAGAGAAAAGCATTTTGGGTTTACACTTGTATAGCTCAGCAATATTTTACTGTAATCTAATCCATCGACAATTTTGTACCTCTACCACTGTGGGGCGCTGTTTCATTAGCCTATATACACATAGACCTATATACATATGAGTGTGTGTGTGTGTATATATATATATATATATATATTTTTTTTTTTTTTTAATGCCTCAGTTAAAGTCCCTTTCGTGCAAATATCTGAGTGGTGAAAACTTGACCTTTCACATACCTTCACTAAATTACATCCAATTACTTGAGACAAGAGACAAACACTGATTAATTCAGAAAAGAAAAAAAATCCTTTAAGTCTTGAGGTAGATGAGTAGAAAATTCAGTTATGTAAATTGCCCTTTATCATTTGAAAATAGAAACTTTAATATTGTGGTTTAATATTTTTGTATTGATGTTATTTGATGAAATTAAATTTTCATCTATATTGTAGGATTATTATTATTATTACCAGCCAAGGTAGTTAAATCACTGATGGGTGTAGGATACATTTTTCTGTTTATTTTGCTACTACGTCTGTTTGAATTTGGGAGCCAAAACCCTTTTTATATCCATTTTTAAAAATTTTTGTTAAGTTTATTGGTCTACGATAAAGTTACATTCATCGTTGGGATCTTGTACATTTACGTGTCTGTCAGTATCTTTTTTGTTGTTGTTGTTACCAGGGATCGAACTCAGGTCCTTGCATTTACAAGGCAGATGGCGGAACCACTGAGGTAAATTCCCAGCCCACGTTTACATGTCTTATCTTGGTTCTTATTTTTCCCCATTCCCCAGCCCTTCCTTCAGCCCCTCCACCTTTCCCTGTTTACAAAGACATTGTTTCCTTTTCACATATTTTTTCTTTTCCCTTTTTCCCTTTCCTCTACCCATCCCACTTCCTCTACTGCTTCAGACCTTTTCTTCCTATTACACAATATCAATTATACATCTTGATCCTTATTTGCACTTTTAGTTTTTCACACCAGAGAAACTTTGGTATTTAGATGTGTGACTTACTAATTTCAGTTGAGTATGGCCTCAACGTGCATCCACTTAGCTATAAATATTTTCCTATGCTGATATCTTCAAGAGTTCTAACTTATCTTTCAGCAACTTTAGTGTTTCTGTTTTAATATTTATATCTTTAATTCACTTTGATTTTAGTTTAGTGCATGGTGAAAGATAAGGGTCTGGTTTTAATCTTTGGCAGGTTGAAATCCAGTTTTTCCAATACCATTTATTAAAGAGGCTGTCTTTCCTCCACTGAGGATGGTTGGCTCCTTTGTCAAAGATGAGGTAGCTGAGTACATCTGGAGCTGTTTCTGTATCTTCCAATCTATTCCACTGATCCTCAGGTCTATTTCTTTGCTATTACCATGCTGTTTTTTTTTTTTTTAATATCCATGTTGATAGACCAGGAGTCCTAAAGCCATGTAATTATGATAGAAAGGTTATGAAAAAATGGAAAAGAGAATAAAAGAGTACTTAGCAGTAGTCCTAAACTTCCAGGTTTTGGATAAGTGTAAACAAGGTATTAGAGTTTTCAATTTTTCTTTTATTTAGTTAATATAAATAAAAGGCATATTAGATGATGCGTAAGAGTTTAGGCATAGAAAGGAAGAAGAAATGAAGGCTAATTTTTGAAATGTTGCTTTGCTTTCTTTACATTAAACCAGAACAAATACAGTATATTTGCTTGGAATTGGACTTGTGTGTGTGTATGTGCATGTATGCGCATGTGTGTGATACTGGGATTTGAACCCAGGGAGTGCAGAGCTACTCCCCAGCCCTTTTTATTTTAATTGTTTATATTTAATCAGGGGCCAGGGATTTAGCTCAGTGGTTCTGCTGCCTGCCTCAAAAGTGCAAGTCCCAAGTTTGATCCCGGTACCAAAAAAAACAAAAAACAAAAAACAAAAATTTGTGTGTGTGTGTGTGTGTGTGTGTGTATGTGTGTGTATTATCAGGGTCTTTCCCATGCTGGCCTCAAACTTTCTATCCTGCTACCTCAGGCTCCAGTGAGTAGCTGGGATTACACTGTGCACCATTGTACTAGGTTATATTTGATTTCTTTCTTTTTTCTTTTTTGAGACAGGGTCTTACTAAGTAGTTCAGCCTAGCTTTGAATTCACTATGTAGCCCAGGTTGGCTTCAAACTTGAAGCAATCCTCTGCATCAGCCTCCCAAGTGCTAGGATTACAGGCATGCACCGCCACACCTGGCCTTCGATTTCTATGCAAAACACAAACACTATACATTTAGTAGCTTAAACTTGATTTCCATATTTCAGAAGTCTGGGCACAGCCAAATTAGATTTTCCACTAAGGGTCTCTGGAGGCTGGAGAATTGTGTCCCTTTTGGAGGTGTGCCATCTTCTGTCAAACTGGCATGGTTGTTGGCTAAATCTAGGTCCTTGTGGTGATCAGACTGTAGCCCCTTAATTTCTTGTTGGTTGCCAGCCAGGGGTGCTCTGTGCTCCTAGAGGCCATTGACCACTCTGAGGGCTCACCTGATTAGGTCAGGCCCACCAAGAATCATCTTCTAGTTTAAGGTCAGCTTATTTGGGGCTCCATCGATTACATTTAAAAATATAGTGTCTGTTAGGATTTTTTTTTTTTTTTTTTTGAGACAACATCTTGCTAGGAAGTTCTGGCTGGCCTTGGCTTTGATCTCATTCTGGAGCCTAGGATGGCCTCAAATTTAAGGAGACCCCTCCTGTGCCAGCCTCCAGAGTGCTGGGATTACAGGCATGTGCTGTCACACCCAGTTATTACTAAGTATTCAAGAGCAGCATACATAAGATTCTTAAAAAGGGAATGGGAGAAGCAGGCCTGTCATCCAGAGCTAGACCAGAATGCATGGCGGAAATGCTGCCTCAGCTCCTTCACAGTCACTCGGTGCTGTTCCTCTTGAGCACTGAATTGCACTGGGCCCAGGGTTCCCTCTGGAGCACTGCATAGATCCCAGGCCTTTGGCGAACACATGCCTGGCATGTGGAGGAGCCAGGGCATCTCGGGGTAGGGGCATCCTTCTTTATTGTACCCTGTTCCTCCCCCAGGGAAGTGAGGCTGTTATCAGAGCCTCCGTCACCAGGTGCCTGGCCCTGGGACCCAGCCCACCTTGACCTCCATGGGCACAGTGATGGGCTGGGCTGTGATGGAGGAACAGCTCCTGCTTGCTATGGTTTCAGTTTTGCTTTGTGGTGCGGGGATGGACCCAGGGCCTCACAGCGAGGCAAGTGCTGTACCGCCTGCTGTCCCCAGCCCCAGCTGAAGTGCTTGAGTGCCGGGTGGGAGTAGGGGGCTTCTCCCGTTGCTTTTCTATTCAATCAGACATTTCAAGAGATATCATTAACAAATATTCTCCGTCCCGGAGAGAAAGGCCTTGGATCTGAGGTGGCTTCCATTGAAACCATCAGGCTGTTGGTATGTTTACAGTTTAGCCTTCATGGCCTCATCTCTTCTGACATGGAGAACAGAAGGCATCTTGATCCCCTTCCAGTTCTACAGACAGCGTTGTTTCATTAGCTGGAGGCATCGCGCTGATCAGAGAGCAGAGCTTCTGCCGCCTCGGAGAGCAGGCTGGTGCCAGTCCCCAGTCAGCAGAGGGAGAGAAGGGCGTTCTATGAACCCCTGGAGCACCATTATTCCCAATTCATGAGACCACAGAAAATAACTGGGCCCCATGTCCTGGTTAGATGCAGAGCGTGTCTATCTTCCCCAGGATTAAGAGCGACTCTGCAAATCCACCAACCCCCGACCCTATTGACACAGGTATTTATGGACTTTGGCTGGTGTGATGTTC